GTTAAGGTGAGTTCAGGTGTGTTCAGGTGTGCTCAGGTGTGCTCAGGTGAGTTCAGGTGAGTTCAGGTGAGTTCAGGTGTGTTCAGGCAAGTTAAGGTGAGTTCAGGTGTGTTCAGGTGTGCTCGAGTGTGTTCATCTATGTTCAAGTGAGTTCAGTTGTGTTCAGGCGTGTTCCAGTGAGTTCAGGCGTGTCCAGGTGAGTTCAGGTGTGTTCAGGTGTGCTCAGGTGAGTTAAGGTGAGTTCAGGTGAGTTCAGGTGTGTTCAGGTGTGCTCAAGTGTGTTCATCTGTGTTCAAGTGAGTTCAGGTGTGTTCAGGTGTGTCCAGGTGAGTTCAGGTGTGTTCAAGTGTGTTCAGGTGTGTTCAGGTGAGTTCAGGCGTGTTCATCTGTGTTCACGTGAGTTCAGGCGTGTCCAGGTGAGTTCAGGTGTGTTCAGGTGTGTTCAGATGAGTTCAGGTGTGTTCAGGTGAGTTCAGGTGTGTTCAGGTGTGCTCAGGTGTGTTCAGGCGTGTTCAGATGAGTTCAAGTGAGTTTAGGTGTGTTCAGGTGTGCTCAGGTGAGTTAAGGTGAGTTAAGGTGAGTTCAGGTGTGTTCAGGCGAGTTGAGGTGAGTTCAGGTGTGTTCAGGTGTGCTCAGGTGTGTTCATCTATGTTCAAGTGAGTTCAGTTGTGTTCAGGCGTGTTCCAGGTGAGTTCAGGCGTGTTCAGGTGTGTTCAGGTGTGCTCAGGTGAGTTAAGGTGAGTTCAGGTGAGTTCAGGTGTGTTCAGGTGTGTTCATGTGTGCTCAAGTGTGTTCATCTGTGTTCAAGTGAGTTCAGGTGTGTTCAGGTGTGTCCAGGTGAGTTCAGGTGTGTGCACGTGTGTGCAGGTGTGTTCAGGTGTGCTCAGGTGTGTTCAGGTGAGTTCAGGTAAGTTCAGGTGAGTTCAGGTGTGTTCAGGTGTGTTCAGGTGTGCTCAGGTGAATTAAGGTGAGTTCAGATGTGTTCAGGTGTGTTCAGGTGTAGGTATTACCTGTCTCCTGAGTGGGGACTGACTCTGTAGCTGCAGGTTTAGGACCCTCACCCTCCTGAGATACCTCTGGATGGACAGACAGAGACACAGACAGACAGACAGAGAGAAAGAGACACAGACAGAGACACAGACAGAGACACACACAGACAGACAGAGAGAAAGAGACACAGACAGACAGACAGACAGAGACACAGACAGAGACACAGACAGACAGACAGACAGA